AAAAAAAAAAAAAAAAAAAAAAAAAGCATAAACGAATCGGTTAATCGTTTCAAAATAGTCAGTTAATGATCCCTCCACAAACTGTCCTCCCTCCATTGTTTCAATCAACAGCTTTTTCGAACGCAGTGCAGACGTCAGCCACTGAACATCATCAAGAATTTAAGAAAAAAACGTCACCAAAATTCGAAACATTGTTTTTGTGTGAAGTCAACATTGTTTTGGTGTGTGACGTCAATGATCCTCCCTCTCCGTCACTGTACCTTTTTTTTTTTCAATTTTTTTTTTTTTTTGTCGTCTCTCGTTTTCAAGGATTTCAGTTCCCTGATCTTGTTCAACTCAATTCCGTTTTCTTTTTTTTTTTCGATTTTTTTTTTTTTTGGTCGTCTCTCGTTTTCAAGGATTTCAGTTCCCTGGTCTTGTTCAACTCCAGTCCGGTTTTAACTTCCAAATATTCACTCCGAAATGTGTCCCATCTTCTTTTTTTTTTTTTTTTTCTTTGTCATCTAATTCATCATCATCATCATCTTCATCTTCTTGATTGCCATTTGAATTCATTTGTACAGAGAATATTTGATCACGCAATTGTACAGAGAACTGCATATTACAGATTTAGTCAAACTTCCAGCTACTGTCTTCACCTGAACAGAACGCCCGGTCATCGTTGCCATGTTTGGTGCAATTTTCAGTCCAGATACAGCTACAACGACTACTAGGCGTTTCATTCGGGCGAAGACGGTAAGTGCGATTATCAAGAATACCGACGTTTTCTCCCCTTGCCAAAGAGTCTTCGATCAGTTTTTCATCGTCTAATTATCAAAACACGATAAGGAGATGAGAGAACTGCAACAACAGCAGGCTGCGGCTGCCACGTTACGTCGGGATCGCTCTGCCACGTAAGCTCCTCATGGGGACGCCAGCTCCGCAGTGCATGTACAGTTCGGATCGCCGTTCCCCGCAATCACCAATCAACAATCAACAATCAACAATCACCAATCAACAATCAACGATCGATGAATGATCAAAGATCAACGAACAGAGAGGAACGACCAATGATCATACCAACGATCTAAGATTAAAGATCAACGATTCCCCCGCAATCAACAATCACCAATCAACAACCACCAATCACCAATTAACAATCACTAATCACCAATTAACAATCAACGATCGATGAATGATCAAAGATCAACGATCAGAGAGGGACGACCAATGATCATATCAACGATCAAGGATTAATGATCAACGATTCCCCGCAATCAACAATCAACAATCAACAATCAACGATCGATGAATGATCAAAGATCAACGATCAGAGAGGAACGACCAATGATCATATCAACGATCAAAGATGAATGATCAACGATTAATGATTAATGATTACCGATCAACGATAAATGATGATCAGCGATCAACGATCAATGATGAGGACTTGAAGTAGGAGCATCGTAGAAAGCCGCATTATATGATCATTCAGATGCAGCGAATAGAACGAGCTGTCATTTCCGCTGCATCCGGACTGAAAGTTCAGCCAAGTACAGCACAGGCAGAATCACCGTACGACAATGGGATGTCCCTAATAGCTACCCGCCGTCCTCACACGAATAAAACGTGCTGTCATTTTCGCTCCATCTGGACTGAAAGTTGTGCCAAATACAGGCAGAATTTCTTTTATTGGGGGAAAACGGTAGCTGGCTAGCTATAGCTAATTACAGTAGGTAGTTCCAATCATGTAAAACCGACAGGCAGGCGCCAGGCTCGAAAAGAAGAAGAACGCCCACCAATAAACCGACCAAGTTCTACGACTGAAAACGAGCCCATCATACAAAATCATCAACTACTGTAAGTGTATTCATCATCAGAATCAAGGAAAACTTTCCTTGAGCAGGCTGCAAAACTCCCATTGAGTACATGGGAGATCTGTAAGTGCGAACGATTATTCATCTTGAGATCGGATCACAGACGCAAAAAAAAAAACGCAATTACTTGCGCGGGCTGCGACAACTGGGGACGCTGCGGGCTTGCCCCGCGTGGAGTCCCGCGGCTACCAAATAGACAACGAGTTTCCCAACGTCCTGTCAAGTCGGGATCCCTGCGCCCCGCGGCTTCGGAGAACCCCATGGCTTCCCAACGTCCTGTTCAGTCGGGATCCCTGCGCGCCCCGCGGCTTCGGAGAACCCCACCCACGATCAACAAAACTTGCTGTTGCGGCAGATTCCTTCTGCCGTTTCGACGAAACAAACAAAGATCGGGATCGCTCTCCCCCCGCGCCCCCCCTCCCCCCCTCAGCGAGCCACGTGGCAGCCAGACGAAACGAACTTCATACTGCATTCGCGGCGATGTCGGGATCGCTCTCCCGCCACCCCCCGCCACCCCGGCCGCCCCTTCTCTCTGTCAAGAATTTTTGTTGACCTCCCTTTCCCTCTTCCCCGCTCTCCCCCACAATCATGCCCGATAATGAATGCTCGCTCGGGGTCCGATCGGGGTTCAACCGAGTCACAGCAGCTGCGCTGAAGGCCGGGATATCATATTCTCGCCCCCCCCCCCCCACGATCAAAGAATCGTTGATGGAGACGTCTCGTCCGATGATGAGAAGGGCCGCACCAGCAGCTGCCCAGAAAGGGAATCGAGGGAATCGAGAGGTTTGCCGCGACAGGTCAGCGGCTTGACGACCTCCCACGTGAAGTCGGGATCGCTTCGGCCGAAGTGTCCGTACGCCGCCGTCTTCCTGTACCTGTAGCCGCCGCGATTCAAATCCAGCTGCTGTGCGACCATCCCGGGGCGGAAGTCAAAGTTCTCCTTGACGATGGCGAGAATGTCGCGATCTGGGATCGCGCCCGTACCATAGGTATCGACGAAAATGGAAAGCGGCTCGGCGACCCCGATGGCGTAGGAGACCTGGATGATACACCTGCGCGCCAAGCCCGCCGCGACGACGCTCTTGGCCGCCTGGCGCACGATGTACGCGCCGCTGCGATCGACCTTGGTCGGATCCTTTCCGCTGAAAGCGCCGCCGCCGTGCGCGCCCCACCCCCCGTACGTGTCCACTATGATCTTCCGCCCGGTCAGCCCCGCGTCCCCGTGCGGACCCCCGATCACGAACCGTCCCGACGGGTTAAGATGGAAGATCGTCTGATCGTCCAGGTAGGCAGTCGGGATGACCGGCAGGATGACGTGGCGTCGCAGAGCGTTCGCGATCTCGTCGTGTGAGACCGTCTCGTCGTGCTGCGTCGATATCAGCACCGTGTGCACGCGTATGGGCACCATAGCCCCTCTCTCGTTCCTGTACTCCACGGTCACCTGCGTCTTCCCATCGGGCCGCAGCCACGGCAAGGTCCCGTTCTTCCTGACCTTGGTCAGCTGCGCGCCGAGCCTCGTTGCCAACACGTGGGTCAAAGGCATCAGCTCGGGGGTCTCATCCGTCGCATAGCCGAACATGATTCCCTGGTCCCCGGCCCCGATCTCCTCGGTCTCCTTCGTGCCCATCCCGTGCACGCTCCATGCAATCTCTGGGCTCTGCTCCTCTACGTTGACGATCACTTGACACGTGTCGCAATTCAGGCCCACCTCCTCGGACGTGAAGCCTGCGTCGCGACACGTGTCACGCACCACCTTCTCATAATCCACCCGCGCCTTCGTAGTCACCTCGCCGAAGATCATCACCATTCCCGTCTTTGCGCACGTCTCGCACGCCACCTTGCTGTCGGGATCGCCGGCCAGACACGCATCCAGAACCGCGTCAGAGATCTGATCACACAGCTTGTCGGGATGCCCCTCGTTCACCGACTCCGACGTGAACAGAAACGTCTCCGCCATATACAGAGACGGCGTGCACATCACGCCGGGATGAGCTAGCTTGCAAACGCGGCAGCAGAGCTCGGAGTACGAGGAGAAGCCCGACGACTCTCCTCCCTTTCTTCTTCCTCCTCCTCGCCTTGGGCGCGACGAGCAGCAAAGACAAACAATTGCCCCGCCTGCTGCAACGCCCAGGAGGAACGGGATCGCGCTCTTCCCGATCATTGACCATCCATTCATTCCAGTTCGCACTACTACCTTAGCGTCCCGTTCTCCACACACACTCTCCCACCCTCCCTCTCTCGGTCACCTGCTGCTTGTCGCAAGCAGTCGTGTGCTAGATCATCATGCAGAAGTACTTACATCATCCACTCGTGTGTGGATGCAATCACAGAGATCACCAAGTGAAAACAGGCACCAAGAACATGGAAAAACCGAGACACAATAGAAAATTCCGACCGCAGGTGCGCGATGAAAAATTACTCGTGGAAACACAAAACCCCATCGCGCAAACGGCGACCCAAGCACGAAAGAAAAAACAACATTGAAGCAGTCGTGCAAACGGCGTGACCCGACGCTGCCGAACCGGTCATCCTCAGGCGTATTACCTGCTCCCGATGACTGTTACCAACTGAGTCCCATCCTTAAGTACTAAAATCCTACCACCACGCAACTGTTAGACCACGCCCAGCGTAGTGGCGCAGCCCGGACCTTGTGACACCAACGACGCGCGCGCACACACACACACACACAGAGCCCGATGACTATTACCAGCTGAGTCCTATCCTACCACCAAGCAACTGTTAGACCACGACCAGTGTAGTGGCGCAGCCCGGACCTTGTGACTCCAACGATGTACACACACACAGATAGATAGATAGATAGATAGATAGATATATCGTATATATATCGTCAAATAGATATATAGAGAGAGAGAGAGAGAGAGAGTCAAATACATTCCAAGAAAGTCAAATGTGTCCCAAGTTGCCCCAAGTCCCAACGTTTGTCCCAAAAGGTGCCAGTGTCAAATACATTNCCCCAAGTCCCAACGTTTGTCCCAAAAGGTGCCAGTGTCAAATACATTCCAAGAAAAGTTGAATGTGTCCTAAGTCACCACGAGTCCCAACGTTTGTCCCAAAAGGCACCACTGTCAAATACATTCCAAGAAAAGTCGAATGTGTCCCAAGTTACCCCAAGTCCCAACGTTTGTCCCAAAAGGTGCCAGTGTCA